GAAACAAAGGGAGAAGAGGTAGTGGAACATGGGGAACAGAGGACAACTTGTACTGGGCTTAGAAAAGGAGTAAATATAGGATCTTAAAGCTGTCTTGTGGATTTATCAGGAAAAGGTGTTTTCAGGTAAATTGAACCAGAAGGGACAAATGTTTCAAGGATCTTCTACTATGGTCAAACTGGGTAAATTACTGGTTAAAATATGTGCTAAGATTATTTCATTTCTTTTTTCTCTGCATTGCTAGTATCTCTACATTTTAAGGAGAACTGTAGGATTGGACAGTGGTTGCTGAATTTCAGGTTTTGTTAATTGGTGTCAAGTTATTAATTTTATTGTTTTTATAGTCTATATTAAATTAAAACATTTTCTATTTCCCAAAGGAGATCACACTGTTTGTACAAACTAAACCATTTTGTAATTTGCCTGGAATACACCATGAACTTTTGTAAATTTTTCATAAAGTTAAAAAGGACTTTCAATTTGATTTATTTACTTGATGGCTTTATCCCCTGTCTTTTATTCAAGAACTCAAGATAGTATACCTAGCACTTTTTCTTTCTATTTTTCCACACAGTAGCTTGCTGCCAGATCTCTTTGGTGGATCAATGATGCTCCAGCTTATTTGAGAGTCACCAGCTCAAGTCATTTTTAGGAAGCCTTCTGTGTTTGGTCTCTTCTGTAGACCACAGGATCTCCATTCTGATCTACTGCTGGGTATCTTTGGTGAGCATGGCCACTGTACCACTGATTGTGACCCTTTTTAAAAAAAATTCTCATGCTGAGCTTGTTCTGGACTTCCTGTCCATCCCAATGATGGGCCTTTCCAAAACTCTGTTGCAGCTCAACCTTCCTTTGCTCTATTGCTCCCCGGTTGTTGGGCCACCTCCTAGCTTAGTTGGGCCACCTCCTAATACCAACAATGGTGTTGTTTTTTACACCATTGTCATGGATGCTGCAGCTGCACACAAATCATGATGGGCTATGTTTTTGTCTCTCCATCTGTCTCTTCAAATATATGGGAAATTTTTAGCTCGCTCTCTCCCTTCCTCATTTTAGCTCCACAAGGAGGGAAAGCCCTGCTGCTGGGTGAGGGTTTCCCCCTTATCTTGCTTGGTAATTGAGGCCCTTTGCAAAGAATGGGGAAAGGGGCAAAGCATTTATTCTGCTTATTATATAAACATGTCCTTTCCCTATCCTGCCCTCATCTTTTCAGCCTCAAGGCTAATTACTTGAGTCTGTCTTATATTTTCCTCCATCTTAAAATCAACTATTGTTACATCTTCAAACCCTCACAGCTTCAATCTTAAACTGACTACTTTGGAGCTCACCCCATTCCTAAGAGGACCATAAAGGGGGCCTGCATAAGCGCACCAGCGTGCCTACCGTCCCTCTCCTACTGTCCCCATTTATTTGTATTCATTTCCTTTGTTCATGTCCATGTTCACACATATACCTGCTATCTTGTACATGTTTGACAAACTAATAAATAAATAAATATTGACATCTCCACATAGCTCAGCTTTAACTAAGGTGCTGGTCATTGCTATCTAAGTGTCCTGGCTGAGTGTTCTACTGAGATAGGATTGTTGCAGTCTAACAAATGAGCAATTAAATAAAGGAATAGATAGAAAATCTGCAATTATATTTGGCTTGTCAAACTTACACAGAATGAGCATAATAGCTGAGAGGCAAGACTAAAAGGCAACAGGTTAAAAAGAAGCCCAGATGGACAGTTTGGTACATAGATTAAGACATATGGAATTAGTTAAATTCTCAAAAGTCATTGCCCATGATGGTCAACTTTTGCACTATGATCCAGCTTTCACAGAATATAGATCATTGGAAATCATCTTCCCCAACCTGGGTCCTTCCAGATGTTAGGTAATGGCCCTCATGTCATTCCCATGTTACCTTGATACAACCATATTCTGGCAATGCCAGTTTTCGGCTGAGTTCCCATGATGTTGTTCATCTCATCCCCCTCCCATGATGAGTTTTAAATCATCTTAGCTCTACTGAAATAAAATAGTATTTCTTTATTTAATTTTATTATCTAAGGATAGGTTTAAAGTAGATAAAAATCTATAGTGCTTCACCACACCATGAGCTTGGAAAAGAAACTGTTGTAAACAAGAACAGATGTGTATATTAGGGGTTTGGGAGATGTAGTCATGTTCTTCCCCTGGAATTAGCCATCCTCTGTCTCAGCCATTTCTCCCACAGGGTTTTTCAGCCCCATTAACACTTTGGAATCTTCCTTATATCTGCTTACCACAGCGCAAAGATGCACTAATAATCATTTTTAGAAGACATGACATCACTTCTGCCTTATTTCTGTCTATACTTGTCTTTCAGGGTTCTGGTATATAATATATGCAGTACCTTTCTTTTATTGTGAAATTTATATTATTAGGGGACTGGAGGCCAAAACATAGAATGAACAGGTATGTTTCGTCTAACAGAGATGGACTAGGGTTGATATGATAGCAGTCTTCCAATATTTGAGGGGCGATTCTCCAAAGCACCTGAAAGCACAAAGCACAAGAAGCAATGGATGGAAATTAATCAAGGAGGGAAGGAACCTGGAATTAAGGAGAAATTTCCTGTCAGTGAGAAGACTTAATCAGTGGAATGGCTTGCCTTCAGAAGTTGTTGGTGCTCCATCACTGGAGGTATTGAAGAAGGTTCCATCCAACTCGGTTATTCTGTAATTCTGATGAGAATCAACCAGTTGCTTTGCTTATCGCATAGCAAAAACAAGAGCACTTAGACTTATATTATACCGCTTCACAGTGCTTTACAGCCCTCTCTAAGCAGTTTACAGAGTCAACATATTGCCCCCAACAATCTGGGTCCTCCTTTTACTCACCTTGGAAGGATAGAAGGCTAAGTCAATCTTGAGCTGGTGAGAATTGAATTCCTGAGTGAGCAGTGAGTTAGCCCTGCAGTACTGCATTCTCACCACTGTCCGAATACAGTTCCTCGCTTACTGCATATATTGGTCCTTCATAACCTGGTCACCTCAAGACTGAATGTTTGTAATTTACTCTAAATAGGATTGTTCTTAAAGACCCTCCAGAAGTTTAAGCTGGTACAAAATATAGTGGAGAGTGATAATTCGTACATCCCAGTCACCTCAAGACTGAATGTTTGTAATTTACTCTAAATAGGATTGTTCTTAAAGACCCTCCAGAAGTTTAAGCTGGTACAAAATATAGTGGAGAGTGATAATTCGTACCTCCCAGTATGCCTATGTGACTCCACTGTTATTCCATCAATTGAAAGTGGGATTCCAGATATAATTCAGGGTGCTGGCCTTTACCTATAGAATGAAGCCCTTTATGGTATAGGACTTAGGAACCTCATTATTACAGTTATGACATTTTTAGTCTGGGCTGCCCATGAGCTTGCTGTTTTAAACTGCTTTTGTTGTTTTGTATTTATGTTTGCAATACAAATTGGCAGCAGGTATCTATAATACATTTAAAATACTCAATAGCTGGATAAAAATGCCAAATCCAGCCTAAAATCTGGCTGACTGTGTGGCCAACTTTAATATAAAACCAGGATGGCACCATCTGGCAGAGAACCAGAACAGATGGAATAAAGGCAAAATCAGGAATCAGCAAAGGGAAGCAAATTTCATGTTAATGTAAATGCTGCCCATAGGTGCATATAGCAGTTTGATTCAAACTTCCGATGCGCCCTAAAAAGTTGGCTTTTCCAGCAAGCCGGCCTGGCCTGAACAAAATAAAATAAATGATTGATTAAATTGTTAATTTTAATCTAATTTTTAAAATGTTTTGTTAATATTAATTGGGTTTGTTTTTGGATACTCTATCTAATTTCCTTTTAACTTTTGTAATATGTGTTTTTTTTAAATGTTGTACGCCACCCTGAGTCTTTTGGGAGAAGGGCTGCATATAAATCCAACAAACAAACAGGAAAAAGGTCCAAATACTCAGTGCAGTCCAAGACAATTGATTTTGAAAATATTAAAGGGGGGGGGGGGAAGAGCAGGAATGGTGGGAGGAAGTATGTTGATTAAGGATACTTTGTCTTCCTCATTGGCACAGTAACAATGCAGGGTCATTCACACATACCACTTCTCTAACTTGGTGTTTTGCATACATGTTAAACTTGTGCCTCCCACTGTTTGAAGCTGGCATGTCCAATGATCATGACAGCTGGGAAAATAGGAACAGCAGTTCAATTCAATCTAAAGCATGAGGCCAGAGAAAACTGCCCAAGTAAACTTGAATAATGTTTTTTTGTGCAATTTGCTGCACTGGCATATAATCATCTATTTCTTGAGCTTAGTTGGCCAACAGTTTTGATTACTTTTAAATGGGACATTGTGATCTATCATTTTAATTTAAGATTCTGTATGCTATACAAAAACACATGTTTAGAAGCAAGGCGATCTTGAATAGATCTGGGAGAACTTTCCACTACTGTATCTGGCAGAGATCACCCCAACTGGCTGGTTAGCTCATATGAATATATATTAGTTGCTTTCCAAACCATCAATAATAAGGCCATTTTAAATATTTTGTTTCTCCTTTTCCAGCTACTGCAGTCATTTGGGAATTCTGAGATTCTTACCAAATTAAAAGGAAAGATATCCAAAGCCCCAACTATTCGGAAGGGGGGGGGGAATCAAAATTTGAATTTCTGATACCCAAGAATGAGAGGGCTGAAAGGCAAAGCAGGTTCTTCCATAGCTGAAAATATGCATTTTTAAAAATATAATCAGAGGACTTTTTTAACACTGCTCAATGCTGTATTTTAGTCTCTTGGAGTTTTTATTGTCACTTCTATCAATTCTATGCAAAATATGAACGGAACTATTTGTCTCTCTTTAGCAGGCGTAAATTCCCCACCTTTACACCAACCTGGTTATTTCTCTGTTTGTCACGCAGCTGAAACCAATCGCGCGCTCTCTCTCTCGCTCTCTTTTTCTCCCCCCTCCCGCCCCACGTTACCGGGTTCTTTCTCTTTAACACCATTTGATTTTCCCAGAGTCGGTATTTTTTTAAAAAAAACCTGTAACATTTAATTTCAAAGTTTCCGCCCACGTGACTTTCAGTGAAGTCCCTTGAGGCTTCCGAGAACCCACATCAGCTAAAGGGAGGCGAAGAGCCGCGGGAGATGCATTGCTCTGAAGGCCAAGGGGGACGTAGCTGCTGACAGGCGCGGTGAGAGAAGGGGGAGAAAGTGAGCGGCTGGCTCAGAGGACGGGCAAAGGAGAGAAAGTGTCCAGTTTAAAGGAAAAGCGGGCTAAGACTACCAAGGCCTGAAGGAAGAAGGCAAGGGAGTCGACAGGCAGGGGGTGCTGCGAGCCATGCCCCATAGCTCTGACAGCAGTGACTCCAGCAGCTTCAGCCAGTCCTCTTCATCCAGCAAACAGGTACTGTGTGGGGCCACTTTCTGTCCATTGAATGAAACCCTTAAAAGGAGGTATATTGGGAGCAAGGCTGCAGTATCCCTAGTGCAATCTAGTGGAATTCAACAGGTGAAGTTTGGCGAGGCATTAAAAATCAAGATATGAGGAACTGTTCCCCAATGACTCGTCTCCCCTTTGAATGAAATTGACCACTCTGGTTTAGGGAAAAGGCTGAAAGAGGGACTGATTTCAGCCACCTATCAGCTGCAATTCTGGGATTTGTGTCTAGTACCTGCTAATTGGTTATGGCCCTGGCTAATGGCCCTGGAGTGGTTTTAATTAGAATTGTCCAGTTCTACCAAAAAATAATAATAATAATCTCGTACTCCTATTTCAAAATTATCCCCTGTAATGAGGAAAGTTCTGGGGGATCCAGTTTTTCTGCAAAAGGCTAGGGACTGATTGATGGATTAAAATTTGTTAAGGGCATTTTTTCTACTGAGAGATGTGATAAATTTTCAAATATTAAAGTATCATCGTTTTGCCTTCTTAGGAATGGGGTCCTAAACTTGGGGGGAAAAATACTTCAGCTGTGTGCAAAATGCTCTTAAGATTTGTTTATACATTAAAGATGGAAGAAAATTCTAGAGGACTACATAGCTAGATGTTATCAATGAGAGACAATAAAATTATATCACCATAAGAATCTTTTTTTAAAAAGTAGGGTAGAAATTTTGGATTATTACAGCAAGCCCAATGCAATGTATACACATTATGCTATTCTTCTTAAGCAAAGTTCTGCAGAGTGCAGAAAAAAGTAAGAAATAGAAAGTTAAAGAGATTAAAAGCAAAAGGATATGGATAGATAATAAAAACGAAAAGCTAAAACTAGCTTATACAAACATTACTATTCTTTTCAATATCCTTGCAAACCTCCTTTGATTCATCAGGTCCATGTATGCTTTCTACTTTGCCTTTTTGCTCTTTATGTTTTTAAGCTACTCCTTTCTATTTAAGGAGCTCCATTCAATTAATATTTTCTTGGACTGCTCAATACCCATTCATTAATTCATCACATAATCTGTTCTTGTTTTATACATGTTTTATATATTCCTTTCCTACTGCATTCAGTTTACTTTTGTCTTTCTCTTAACATACCCAACTTTTACTTTCATAAACAAAGTGGCAGAAACACACTTTTATATACAGCAATTTTTGCTCACCCACAAAATATTTATTTATAAGAGACCATGTACTATCTAATTCCTTCCTCCATGCATTTGCATATTTTAAAATTTCTCCAAATATGTTCCAAATTAAAAAAAAATTCTACCACAGTTCTATATAGAAATTGATCTACTTGCTTTACTTTTTTTTACTGTTTATGTATAATTTGCAGTCATTCATTCTGTTTTCCCTACCAAACAACTAATTTGATAATTTTCAGCTCATATTTTACCTTACAGTCTATTTCCTGCAATAATTTGGGTTCTCTAGCAACCACATAACCCGATTTGCATACAAAGATACATATGAAGTACACATTCCCAACTCCCACCAGCACACCACTAAAATCATCAGACTTCCTTTAACTGATTGATTATGTGCCATCAAGTCAGTTCAAATCTTAGCAACCATGTAGCTAGAGTTTCTACAGGATGACCTGTTCCCTTTCTGGTCTTTAAGGTCTTTCAATGGTACACCCAACTATCATACATTTCTGGTCCATACATTCCAAAAGAAATAGATTGGAAAAGTATATTTGTATTTCAGGACTCTTCTGATGATATGAGGAAAGTACAAAGAAGAGAAAAGAATCGCATCGCAGCTCAGAAAAGTCGGCAGAGACAGACACAGAAAGCAGATAACCTGCACTTGGTAAATGCTTCTGTTATCTTCATCTGGATTTCTGGGATATACTATTCATTATTAATATTAGTATCTCCATTTAAATCTTGCTTTTCTAGCCAGAAAGCACACAATGCACAATGTAATTTAATATAAGGTATAATATGATATATAATATAATAATTAGCATAGCACAGCACAGCATAGCATAGTCTGATTTAGGCCTGTAGCAAAATTTAAAGAATTGCTTCTTTATATAAAACTGTGAAACAGTAGATCTCCTACACTTTACATGGCTGCATTGAGGCAAACCTAAGGTCTCTTGAGTAGCACCTGGTGATTGTATCAACTGCTCAGAATCTTTGGGAATGGGTAATGTACAATAAAAGAAATATATATACAAAATGTGATGGATAAAATTGCTAAATTTTTATGACAGGGTTGGGGATTGGGAATAGTTTTAAGACTGGAAATGATAATTTCCCTCCTTAGACTTTCCCATTCCACTTCAAATAATGTCCTGAAACTAGATTTGTTTTCATTTTTTTTGTGCCTTCTCACATTTTTTTTAAAGTTTTAACAATCCCCTTTTGTAAATCTAATATAGGAAAATTATCCAGGTTGACTTCTTATTTGTATATTCCTTTTAATTATTAAGACATCAACCTGTTTTTAATATGTCCACTGTAGCATCTATTTCCATATTGTTTATGGAGCTTATCATGTTTAAATCTACTTGCAGATCAGTCTCAATTCTGTCCAAAGTGCTTGCATAACTTTTTTTAAAAATAGTTTTTTTTATAGAGACAGACACTAATATTAACTTCTGAGTCCATCTTCAAAAATATCCTTCAATATGTCCAGTATTAAAATATTTCGCTTCATTCTATATTACCAGTGGGGGAGAGTTTTGGCAACACAGAGCTTTCCCAGAAAGTGGCCTGGATTAAGAAATTCTGTAGTCCTGAGTTGGATTGGGGAGTGGTAAAGAGGTTCAGGGTAGCCATACCCTAGAATGCCTCCAGATATATCTAGTAGGTTAAGTTATAGCTTTAATTTGGCAAGAATCTGTCCATTAGGTGTAAGCAAATAAAAGTTTGAACCAGTGGTTAAATTCAATTTTTTTACTACCGGTTCTGTGGGTGTGGCTTGGTGGGCGTGGCAGGGGAAGGATACTGTAAAATCTCCATTCCCACTCACTCCAGGGGAAGGATATTGCAAAATCTCCATTTCCCCACCCCCCCCTTGGGCCAGCCAGAGGTGGTATTTGCCGGTTCTCCGAACTACTAAAAATTTCCGCTACACAGAACCTGCTGAATTTCACCCCTGGGTTGAACTCGATTGAGCTTTCAATATGATTTCTGGGCTTGG